TAACAGAAATTATATAACTGAAAAACAGGAATTATGAAGCACCTAAATGTAAGAAAGATACAGTTCATAGTATTCTACAGATTTGAGAGAAATAAAGTGGATCAATGGTTGGCTATCTAGACAGGAAGGCCACCTGAAGAAGGCTGATAATGCCGAGCTTCATGAATGTGTGAATGAATGAGGTTGGAATTCTATAACATAGTACAGTATTTACATACTTCCACAATGGACAGAGTCCAACACTTGAGTTCCCCTGAAATGGTTTCCTGTGGAAAAGTATACAGAGGATATTTAAGGGTTGAGTTTGGACCATGTGTTACATTAGATGAAATTGTGTAGAATAATTTATAGCCCAATGTTTGTTTATACAAAAGCCTGCTTCAGACAAGCTAGGCAGTTTACAATAAATAAAAGGAATCCCCATACAAAGAAATCCCATTTATACCTAACCAAAAAAAAGCATATTACCAATACAACAAAAAACATAATCTTAAAAAATCAAGAAAAATCTGAAAAAGGCGATTCAACCTACATTTTTTGTTGTGAAACACTGCAGCAATGTTGTGAACAAGTCTATCATGCTGAACCATTATTGCCTAGGTATAGATGTTATGTGACCCTTCCAGCAATTGTTTTTTTAAAGCAGTCTTGCTATGTGATGAGATCATAATGGAACTAATCATGCCAAAACAGGCCAAATGCCTGCAAATCATGGATAAAGTTCATAAAGGCAAGCATTGAGCTGCAAAATACTTCACAAGAGCAGGTGCAATCCACCAGCTTTCCAGAGCCCTTCCTAAGAAAATCCTATACTCCACTAAAATGTGAATGTAATGATTTAGAATATAAATAATTAACAGAAAAATAAATTAACAGTGGAAAATGCATACAAAATTCTGACAATACTGGTTGTTCATCTATATCCTTTTCCAGGTACGGAATCAACAATTGCCAAAAAAACCTGCTTAATATAACAGCTTCATTAAATATTAATGGTTTACTTTGGATTAAATTTTAATCAAGAATAATCAAGCATCAAGTGATTTTCATAGAGTACAAAAATGATTTCAGCCCAATGGATTATTATAAATATATACTTCAAGTTCAAAGAAGGGAAACTTGTCAAATTCTGAATTAGGCCATAAATAGTAGTTAATAGTTAGAAAAGGATGGACAATTATGGCGACATTATGAACTGTAGACTTTAACTCCCAGAATTCCTGAACCAGCATGGTTCACCCCTGACTTAAGAGTTTAAAGTGGTACAGATTTCAATGAGGTTGTGGATGATGCAAACAACTCTGAGCTTTATAGTGAAAAATCTCTCCCCATTATCATATGGGGAGAGATTTAAGGAATAAAAGTTCCTTAAGGGCAGGCTTCAGTCTTCTTATCTGAGACCACTAGAATTCTTTTCTTAATGCCAATGACAAAAAACACAACATATTTTCATTGTTCTTTTATGCTAAAATTTCAACTTGAAAGCAAAGTCTTAAACAGAACACAAAAGAAAAACTGTAAAATGCTGTTACCAGCATTTCCTGGTAGCAGGAAATCATTATTTTATTCAAATAAATATACAGCAAAAACTATGGGGAATCTCTTAGCCATCAACCACCAGAAGAACTTATATCATCTTGGCTACTTGAAGATGTGTGGACTTCAACTCCCAGAATTCCCCAATCAACATAGCATAGCATAGGTGGCTGAGGAATTCTGGAAGTTGAAGTCCATGCATCTTCAAGTGGCTAAGGGTGAAAAACTGACTGAGGATATTTCCTGTGGATACACAAAGATTTCCTCTCAGGTTGTAACAATGATAAACATCCTGATCCTTCTTAGGCAAATCCTTAAAACTTGGCTTTATTCCCAGGACCTGGATTAGAATGGAGTCTAACCCCTTGTAGACCCTTTTGCTTGTTTAATTGATTGCTATTCTTTTCCAACTTCCCTTCAACTCTATATTGCAGTGATGGCTAACCTTTTTGTCACTCAGTCCAAAAGCACATGCATGTGTACGCAAAAGCACGTGCACACACATCCATAATGCAATGTGTGCGTCACCACCACCGCCCGCACACCCAGCTGCCCAGCACACATGTCACATCTCCCGCATATGCGCCCCCCCCCCAGGTATGTGTGGCAGAGATCCGAAAGCCAGCTGGACAGCAGGAGGCATGCGCGCATGTGTGGTGGAGCTGAGCTGGGGCGACAGTTCGCATGCCTGCAGAGAGGGCTCCGCGTGCCACCTGTGGTAAGCATGCCTTAGGTTCGCCATCACGGCTATATTATATGGTTTGGAAATTGCCCAGTGTATATGTCACCTATGCATTTAATAAATAAATAAATAATAAATAAATGAATAAAAGACGTCTTGCAGAAAACTAAGGTATGTAGTCCATACTGCCTTCATTTTCTGTTCATTGTTGCAGGAACTGAAATGATCCCTGAAATAGAACTGGATACTCAGAACATCCAAAATGCAACCGAGATTTCTGAAGA